GCTTCAGTTTGTTAACTACATCGATTTTACGTACACAACACTGCTCTTCTCTGACTTCCCATGTAATTCCAGTGCCTTTATACCCAAGTTCCAAATGTCAGCATTTTCTTACACATGGTGCTTCTTTGAATTCATTGTTTTTAACAGGCTTCACCTGAGCACTGAGCATTTTCAGTACAGGGCTCATTAAACCTGCACTTTCCCAGATTAGGTCGATGACAGGAACAGAATCAACCGCTGACGGAAGACACGCTGCGTTGCCTCACACAGCACGATGCCCTTGCTGAGTGTCCTCTGATCAATTCTGACCGGGCTGTAAAGTCTGCGGATGTTCTGGCTCCAAGTTGGTTTGGTTTGTCGTTTTATTACAGCCTGATAAAAACAAACTGATGACAGAAAGAACTACAAGATGGAAGCAATGTACTACACAAGGCCTAAAATTAAAATGACTGGATTTTTTACTGTAAGTACATGTGGAAACAGTGAAAAGAGTTTCATGTCTTTCATCAGCTGGATCTGCAGGGTGAGTTCACCTCTGGCGCACTCAAACCTCCTTTCATTCCCACAGCAGCCACGGCTCCCAGGACTATCAACCAAGAATGAGGTCTGCACATTTAGGAGTCTGGAACAGACGATCTGACACTAAAGAACTGTACTGGTGTGATTTTTCATCTCATCATCCATTCTTTACATCTCTCCTGACTTTTTTCAAAGCAGACCAGTTCAGTTTCAGTGACCCATAATTCATCACTATTAGCATGGACTGAGGAGGAAAACTGAATAGTTAAACTTGTGATTAAGAACCTGGTGGTAACAACAGGTGTGTTAGATATGTCAACCGCTCTGGGCAGCAAACACTCTGAGCAGCCAGAACAGTAGCTTTATCATGCTTGGAAAGGCAGGGCTGGGGGGCATTGATATGGTTGATCTGCAACGTGATGCCACTAAATCTTACACACCTTTAAATAAAGAAAACAATTAATTCTGTCTTTCTGCTGCCACCGGGAACCTTGCCATACCCAGACCAGGGCGTGCATGTTTCAATTGTCTCAGAAACAGACTGAGCACAACCTGAAAAGCATGATATCTGGCCCTGCTCAGTAGCAGGTCCCAAAGCTCCCTACACTGCCCCCAACCTGGCCGTCTATGTCATTACTTTCTGATTGGCAGAGAGAGAACTTGAGCAACGGGAGACGTCTCAGCCAAAGAAAGAACTAAAGGAAGGAGGAGATGGCAGCATATAATGAGGAAGTAAAAGGAAGCCAATATAAAGGTTATGTATGTAAAATCCATGTTTTTTCTGTTGTGAGTCTATTGTTGATGTTCCTTCTCATCACACAGAAGACGGCACCATGACCTATTCTGCAAAAGCAATGCTCACGTTGTGCAATGGAAACACAACTGTGTATTCGTTGTGTCATTCTGATCCACAGCAAACACACCAGTGGTCCAAAAAAATCTGTGAGCCTGTGTTGCAATGAATTCACATCAGCTCAAGACAGAGACACGTGCCTCCCACCTGCATCTTATTAATACACTCTGGAATGTCGCACACCATCAGGATAAAGTGTAAACAATTGCTGTGACACCTCCTCCTGCAGTGAATAGAAACATGCTTCCAGGGAGCCAGAGGCGAAGAGCTGGACTGACCTCTGGAGCGAGCCGAGGAGGCAGAGTGCTGCCATTTTATTCCCCTCTATGTTTCCTGTCCAGGATCCCGAAGAGAAGCCGAAGGGAAACATCTGCTTCCCCCCAGAAAGTCAAAGGTCCAACCAGCCTGATGGGTCTTTACCAGTCTGGGCAGTGTGACACAGGCTGCTCAGGATCTACTAACATGACTCAAAGGCCACTTTCACGTTAATCAGCTTTTTTTATAACTGTGCCTGGAGCTAAATGTTCCCTTTCCATCTTTTCTGATTCCTTACATCACTTACAGTCTACCTCTATAGTCCAGCTTTGAATAGCATAGTTTACACTCAATATTTATTCTGTTTAATCATCTATTTTATTGTATGTTACAATGTTTTATTCCCTTATATATGTTATTTCTTTTATTAGTTTTATTTTGTTTTCTATTCTAAGGGTTTTGATTCTTTTACATTTAGTACATTTCATCCTCTTTTACTGTATAGGCTCAAGTTCTTATTATCAGTGGGTCAGTCATCTGTAAAGTACTTTGACCTGCAATGACCTGTAGCAAAATGTACGGGGCAAATGAAGTTTGGCTGATGCTATTCTCAAAAAATAAATTGCATTGAAGATTGCAACTGAATATAAATAAAAATGAGATGCATTAATAATAAATAAAGCTGATTTGGAATAGTGCTCCTGGGTTGGTGCAGTGAGAAGCATCATTCCCTGAGGTTCAAGCCAAATCCAATCCATAACACCGAGGATATTTGCCTGACAGATGCACAGATGAAAGGACAGAAGGAAGGACTCCAGGTCCAAAAGTTCAGCTCAGTTTCAGCAACAATGTCCAAGGAACAGTTTAGGATATCCACCCAATCAAGGAGAGATGAGGCCACAGATTTGGTTCTTGCCATGTAAAATGCAGCATTTAAATTTCTTCAGTGAAAGATCCTGTTGTGGCTCTGACAAACACAGATCGTTCTGGACCCTAGACCCTGGGCCTGGTCGTGCTTCACATTTCTACACTTTAATAAGTTAGTTAAGGAACTTTCCAGAGAAACTTCCATGACTTTTCACTTACAAAACCAGCCATTTATTACGAATCAGTGTAGCAAGAGTAAAGTCAACCTGACAGACGGTGGACGATGGTGAAGGAGGATGTAGGAAGAAACTATTTTTATAATAAAACATACTTTTATTCTATCTCTTTCTTTTATTGTGACAGAGCAAACCAGGACTGAGTCAGATGAATAAAGGTCAAACAAACTGAAGTAAATCATTTTTTATCCCACTAAACATTAGGCCAGAGCAGTGTCGTCATATGGCAGCCTGTCAAAGTGTGACCAGCTCACTTTTATAATCTTTTTAGGTAGAGCTGTTGATATCATCTGGATTCTGTCTTCTGAATCAAGCTGTGATGGATCCAGCTCTCCTTTCTTCTCTATGACCTCAGTCTTTCCTCTGACAGCAGAGGGGTTTCGGTGAAGGTCAGAGGGCGAGAGTGTAAAGATAAACTGAAGCAGTAAAAATGATGCATGAATCTTTGCAAAACTCTTGACAGTAATGAGACACAGCCCGCCGAAAGGGCAGTGAGGCACGCAGCAGGCTTGCCAAATGATTCGGCAATGGTGAAAAGATTTGTGATATCTCATTGCTGAGAAAAATCAACTTAGGAGAAACACTAAGTGAACTAGAATCACTGCTTTGCAGTTGTGTGCCTTTGCCAAGTCAGAGTAATGTGATTCAAATAATAGGACAGATGTGAGGTCACTGTGACCTTTGACCACCAAAATCAAATCAGTTCATCTTTGAGTCCAAGTGAATGTTTGTGCCAAATTTGAAGAAATTCCCTCAGGGTGTTGCTGAGATATCACGCTCACAAGAATGGGAACTGATTTGATTTGGGAGGTCAAAGGTCAAGGTCACTGTATATACTCTCATCTGTCCCATTACCATGTACTTAGCTGGTTGGCGAAGACACAGAGCCACAAGGTGGTAATTCTTTTACCCTCAAACCAGCTCTCCCTGTAGCTGTGGATCAGACCTGCAGTTTTGGGACCATTCTTCAGCTCAGACATATTCCCGGGGCGTCTGGTGTGAATGGCTCTCTGAGCTCAGACTGGACCCCTGCACAAGTACAACTTTCTCAGTTTGAAGTCACTCTGTAGTAGATTTACTTCTATGTTTAGAGTCACCGTCGTGCTGTGACTTCTGCTGAGCTTCAGCTGCTGCACAGCCGCCCTGATATTATCCTGAGAGATTCCTTGATAAACTTGGGAATTCATTTTCCCCAGCTATCCTGGACCAGAGGCAGCACAGCAACCCCAGATCATAGACCAGGAACAGAACAGAACATACTGTACATTCTTGGAAGGTTGCAAGGAAAACTGGCATCAGCTGAGGGTGTAGCATTTCAGATGTGAACTTTAGGATAAGAGGGAAATACTGCAGAATGAGAGGAGGAGCCAAGCAGCAGGAGAGAGTCGGGTCTGAGGTTTAAGGTCCATATTGATCAGAGAAGCCAGAATCACATGTTATGGTGTTGGAAAACAAACAAGTCTCATCATGAAGCTTTTCACAAGGTTGGTAGGCCATATTACAGTTCTCAGAAGGTGAGGATTCATTTTGGAGTGAAGCTCTTCATCACACTTTTCAGATTCCAGGTTGAATCTGCAGCTTTGTTTTCTATGCACAGTGCAAATGAAACCAAATTAAAGACCTCATGAATCAGTGATAATGAGTGTGCTCAGGTTTGTAACTCAAATCAAACTCCTGCTGTTCAAATCCTCGCTGCTGCTCTCTGCAGCTTCCAAGATGTCCGCTACACACCCAGCACAGTGTCACAGCAGGTACTATACAGTTCACAGCTGATGCGAGGAACCTGCTGCACAGTTGAGCACTCACACACCATCTTTATGTTTTATGTGAGGTATGGGCCCACTGCCTGGTACATGAACAGACAGCAGACAAACCGCAGCCTGCAGCTGGCCACAACGACAATCCACAACAACGCTGTGTGTGGTTGTTTGTCTACATGTCAGCCCTGTGATAGACTGGCAACCTGTCCAGGGGGGACCCCGTCTCTTGTCTAGTGTCAGATGGGATTGGCTCCAGCCCCCCGTGGCCCTATTCAGGATAAGCAGTATAGATAATGGATGGATGAACATCCACAACAGGATGGAGTCTAAGCTGTTACACCGCCTTATAGTGCTGAACACAGCTGCAGAAGAACAAGCAGTGTAGCCAACCTGTCACCCACTGCCAAGAGAGGCACAGAGAGGCAGCAGCAACTGTGTTAGATCCAGTTCGTCTCCCCCCTCTGGTAGCAGCACAAACAGGAAGAAAATCAAAAAAGCAAATACACTGACCGTGGAAGGTGCGATTCCACATCCTCTTGGTGACAACTTTCCCAGGAGGCCGAGTGCCGGACGCGGACATCGTCTCGTTTAGAGCATGAGTGTAGAGCATCAGACCGTCGTAGAAACCCCCAGCTATAATGTTCATCTGGAAGACAGACAGAGGGACAGTGAGAACCACAACAACAACCCTTCACTGGGGCTTTTCTGAGCCTTCTAGCATATACAGCTTCTAACCTTCTCTTCTCTCTAACTTTGCCTGTGAACATCTGAAATGTCAGACAACCTCCATCCAAGTATGTTCACCCATACTGAAAAGCAGCATTAATGAGGACGCAGGGTAAGTCAGATTTAACCACAGCCAGTCTGTGTAAAAGGATGATCACTATGACCTCAGCTCTGAGAGCAGTGTAATTTACCAGAGTGCATTGAAAACAGAGCCAATTCCATTGAACTGCATTTGAAACAAGGACTATTAACAGCTGGGCTTGATGTCACTCAGTTACACTGGAAGGACCAACCAGTCAATTAGAACAGCATGTAATGGCCACATCTCCAGCACACCACAGACATCAATGTGCTGCTCTAACAGCCCACACTGCGCTGTGTCAGATGTTCCACCAGTTGCTGAGCCTGGCTGCGGGGACACAGCATCAGTCACATCCAGCATTGATGTTTGGTGATAAGCTCCAGCTACTGGCAGCGGTGCTGGACGCTGCTGAGGTCATAGCTCTGTGCACTTCCACAGCAAGCCTTTTTCTTTAGAGTGCAGGCTTTGTGCACAGGTAGACATGTGCACAAAGCCACAAAGTGGCATACCAAACTGCTTCAGGTGCACTATGCTGCACTACAGGGCGGCCGTGGCTCAGGGGTAGAGTGGGTCGACCTCTGATTGCAGGGCTGGTGTTTAACTACACTACATGTATCTGATAACTTCAGTTCGTTTTCAGAATTAGATGAATCAAACCAAACCCAGTAGAATCATCAGACTCTATTGATCCTGGTGGGAAATCCACCCCAGCAGGATGTAAAGTACTTCACAGTATAAGTATATAAGGTCATTAACATCAGCTCCACCTTTACCAGCTGCAGCATTAAAGTGATGAACACAGTAATGTATCAGTAGGATCCAGTAGTATCAGAGACATTAATGTAAAATGGGCCGTTCTGCAGGACAAGTACTGGTACTGCTGGTACTTCAGGTATATATAATTCTAATCCTTTTGTTCCTGCACAGCTCTTGTCCAAACACTGTACCACACTGGGAAAAGCCTGGCAGCACAACACCTGTCTTTCTGTCTCTCTGCATAATTTTCGATCATTCTCCATTAAGTACTGTAACTATCTGTACTACGACCTCTGCTACTACTACTTCTCTATACCTATCCATCCACCAGTACTCTATCTATATATTCACTGTTGGACCATTTAGTCAATGTGTAATGTCTTAGAAAAATCCCAAAATACGCATGTTTTGACCTGTTTTTAGTAACACAAAAAACCTGGTGGAGCATACAAGATGAGTTGCTGCCCTGTGATTGTTTTAGATCTCGTCATCTTTGTTCCAGGTGATAACATCAGCAGCTTTTAGCCTCGCGCTGTGTTCAGCTGATCTCGGATTTGAAGTGTGAGAGCTGTTCCTGCACCGCTGTCTCCTTTCGTCACTGTCTCTTTGCATGTTTGTGTGAACTGCATTTGTCAAGCTGAGCACTTGTGACAGACGGAGCAACAGGATAAGATCAGGAGACTAAATTTGCTCCCCTGCACTGAACCGGCTGCGCTGACGATAGTAATTACACATTTATATTAATGTCTTCTTTCATCCATACATCAGTCATATTATCTTTTGTTGACACTGTCAGGTGCAAAATGCTTAATAACCCAATTTCCTCTGTTTTTATTGAATCTTATTTATCTTTGTCCAGCAGCTGCAGGCTGTCCAACACTTCAGTCCACAACTAGAAAGACTTCCATTTAATTCCATGTTGATCTGGTTTCTTAATGTATTTTGCGACCACCGGAACCTTTCCTCATGTAATCACCTGTTCTTTTGATAGTTTTTTTTCTGTTTTTACTGAATCAGAAGTGAAAAAATAGATTTGGCAAATACATTTATAGAAATTGGAATCATGTCCAGTGTAAGAACATGCTTATATTTGTTTTTATGGTTTGTGTGGAAGCCACACACACACACACTGCTGTCGCCCTAGGACAACAGAAAAGGCTTTTTCATTCTGTGAGACTTTATAATTTTATACTGACGCTCCCTGTGTTGGACCCACTGCTCACCAGCGTGTCCTCTATGGTGTAGTTGAACATTTTCCTGGCGTCTGTCTTCAGGTTGTTGACGAACTCTCGGTACTCGGGGTTCTGAGGCTCTCTGTATGTCAGGATCTTCACGCTCTGAAAACAGGAAGAGAAGAATTTTTAAATAACCCGATAGGCACAAACTGATCACCAAGTTCATGGTGATCTGTACAGGCATGTACATATTCCATTCCAAACACATTGTTCCTCATGAATGGGAAATTAAATGAACAGAAATTATGCTTCCTCCTGTTCTTTGGTCTCATGTCTGACATGTCAAATATTGTTACATATAGACATGAGATTCAGAACTTTGTCCAGTGGTGGGACAAACATTTTCTTATCATGAAGAGATGGTATTTGATCCTAAATCCATCAGTGACCTCTTACCAGTGGTTATCCATCACCAGAACATAGCTCAGGTTGAGTCTTTGTGGTACCTGGGTGTATTCATTGATAATAAACTGACAAGGACTGTTCAGGTAGAAAGGGTTTGCATTAGAGTTTTACAGAAATTACAATTTCTCCACAGACTGAGGGTCTTCGGTGTCAGCCAGAAGGTGTTGCGCCTTTTCTGTAGTTGAGAGTGTGTTGATTGCTGGTTTGGAAATCTAGTGTGCAGGTAAAAACTCTGATTACCTAGATAACACAAAGGGCCAAAAAAATCATGTGGTGAGGCAGCATCCCACACTCCAGGGTGTATATGAGAAAAGATTTTCAGACAGGCCCACTGCTGTCCTCCATCCTGAGTACCAGCTTCTGCCTTTGGGCAAAGGCTTTAGAGTCCCCTTGTGCAGACTTAACTGTTTCAAAAATTCTTTTGCTCCCATGTCAGTTGTAAATTGTACAAGTTCAACAATAGTATAATATATAAGGTAGTGTACTGTAGGTGGTGTGTGAGTACTGTATTGCATTGTTTGTTGTGTATTTAGATTTTTGTAACAGCTGGTATTGTGTATGTCCAAGACACATTTCCTTCAGGATAATAAAGTGGATCTAATCTAATGTCATATGATGCCGCCCCGTCTCTGTCCAGCATCACAAGCTGTTCCTGGAATAGGACTACACAGTAGTTTTATCTTTTTCAGTGCTCTCTGTCTCTGATTATGTGGTCATGAATGCAGAGCAGTCAGCCTGGAAATCCTGACAGCTTGTATAGTGCACAGCTACTGGGTGGAGAAGGTAGGCTCTGTCTTATACTGTCTGCCTTTTAAATCTGAAAACCTTGAATGGAGTTATTACCTTAACAGAAGTTTTAATCTTTATTCAACAAAGTGACGTACCTCTTTACATGGGTGACAACACTGCTTGTTCATTAAACCTAGTTGCATTGCTTTACACTTTTTCCCCTTAGCATCTGATCTTACTGAATACACTGTAACACTGAAGAAATGCAGACTGTGCCTCTGTGTATTCTATCTAGAGACAATGACAATAATCTGATTTGAACCTTGCTGGACAAACGAGTTTTTTTTTGCCAAAAGCTGTGTCAGTTGTCTTAAATACAACACACCAAGCACAGACAAGTGGCAGGGCATCTTCTACTGGTGCAGATGTTTGATACAGGTCTTATTTCTCAACCAAGAATTAACAAAATCATCATCAGTGAATTGATTAATCAGCACTAAACAAACACCAGTTGAACTTCAGTAAACTATTCCTGGACATCTCTCATGACACATATATTGGTGCCAACTGTGGAATTAAACTTTTACTGAGGAATTTAAATGAGTACATTTTTATGCTGAATGAAAACACTAATCAATCAGCCTCTGACTGTGTCTCTCTCTAAACTCAGGCTGAGTGAATTCCTTTCCTATGAGAAATCGTTCACTGTTGTCTCTGTAAACATACAGATGTTATTCGAGTACAGCTCCTCTGTTGTCTTTTGTCTTGGTGAGCAATCAGCCACATCGCAGGCCAGCTCATCCTTCATCTCATCAACGCTTTACTGAGCCAGGCAGCCAGTGCTTCTCACCTCCACACATTTACAGCTCAGCAGAATGACCACCAGCTAGCTCTGTTAGCAACAATGCTTATATTACCTCATTTAGGTTACGTGCACATCAACAGCTAGAGTGACTCATATGGAAAATAAGTTAAGGGTAGGCATTAAGGTCTGCAATGAGAACGCAGCCTTACAGTAAGTATCAAACAATGGGCCTTGCTGGACCTGTCGTGCAACGCCATCAGTCTCTCTTTGTCACAATATAAGTTTTTCATATTTACAAAAACGTAGCCTTATGCTCATTATTTATTATTTGTGCTGACATTTTTCCAGACATGAACACTCAGGCAGCGAGACTGGACTGTAAGTGTAACTGATTCTGAAAACTTGTGACTTGAACCAGACTTTTAGATTTGATTTGAGAGTTGCTTTGACAAGACTTGAGACTTGCTAGTCTCTACTACTGAGGCTTAATTGTTTCCATAAAAAGCACCCAGAGATCTGCTGTTTGAGCAGATTTGTGCTCTGAATGGAGCCACAGGGAGCATGTGAGAGAGACAGATGGAGAGAGGTGAGGTGGGGGGCACAAACTGATCAGAGCCACAGAAGGAGACAATAACTGTTCCGGGGGTTAGATGCTGTATGTGTGTGGCTTTATGTATATAAAGCAGGGTCAGTAGAGAATAAAGCCAGTTTCTAGTACAGAATAGATAAAGATGGCGATGAGAGGAATCACTCCAGAAGAGTCTGAAACGGTTCACCCAGAGCGGGTTCTCCTGAGCCAGGAGGGGCAGCAGGTCAGCATTTAACCCCTCACCATCCAGGCTGACATCCAACACAAAGCATCAGCGATGGCTCTGTTAATAGTCCTGACCTCTGACTGTCCCCCCATCATGGGAGAAATTACCTTCATACTCCTGAGAGAACATACACTGACTAAATATGGATGATACTCAGGCTGAATTTCAAGTCAGTTCAACATGAATGGAGGGTGACGGTTTTTTAATCTCGCTGGAATATACACACAGAGTGATTCTGAATAAGATGGAGAACAATGGCCGAATGTGTCGTTCCCCAAGGCTTTGATAAAATCCAATCAGTGCAATACTGTGCATGTTCATGCATGTGATGGAAGAATGATCCATTGTGTTCCTGTTTTCAGTACAGAGGGGGGAATACATCTGCCAGCCAGAGTCAGTGACAGCACTAAATTAAAAGAAATAATCAGACTTTTGCATAAAAGAGATCTCAGTTTTCAATAAATTTGCAAACATTTCAAAAAACATCCTTTTCCTTTGCCATTATGGGGTACTGAGTGTAGACTGATGGGCCAGAATGGCAGTTTTACCCAGTTAAGAAAATGAAGGGGTCTGAAAACCTTTCTGAAGCCACTGTGACTCTGTTCAGTAATGTTAATAAGTGAATTTCCAAAAGTGTCAAACTATTCCTTTAAATGAAACCAGCGTTGGCTACTGAGGCAGTTCGGAAACATCAGTGTCGGTGTCCACGTGTCTTACATCCCACCCTGACTTCAAGGCTTAGTGTTGGTATAAGGACACACTGAAATGTTCTTGTTATCTTATGTACTAAACCGTTTTTTCCTTCATAGAGGGGGCTGGTTCAGC